TAGGTCATGAGAAGAAATAAGGAGGGTGCCATGATAACTGGATAATGAGGGTGGGCGCGAGGAAGGGTGGCCCCTCTGAAGAGTTAATGATACAAAGCTCACCCAACCCCCTGTGTCTTCTTTGTGAATCCCTCACAGGCCTCCTCCTCATAGAGGCTGAGCACGTGCAGATTCACCTAATTGAAAGGGAAACTAGGAAACGAAATGTGTAGCTTAGTGTAAAAATAAAGAACCTATCTTGAGAATTAAGACCTGCTGGTTAAACGAGGTCATGCTCCCTCACGAGTTCTGGGGCAAAAACGCCTCACGGAACAGTCATTAAGGAAAAATGCGTGACCACACAGCCCACAGGGCTTCGGCACACAGCCTGGGAGGTAACGACCGACTGTGTCATTGACGCACTCAGAAACAAATCCACAGCAGCAGGGGAAGATGGAGGCTGTTTTGCAGCTCACGTCCCTAAGCACCGAAGAACTTAAAGGCTTCTCTGGAAAGCCAATGGGTGTGCGTATTTCTTTGCAATGACCTTTGCCCCTGTGTACATGTGTTTGTTTCTAGGAGCAACAGCTCTGGGTCCTGGACCCAGTTCCAGTGTGTTGAGCAGTGCCCCCACGTTAAAAACAAGTCTCAGACACTCACACGCCCCTGCACGCAGCCCCAGCCCGCTCTTACCTGTGCTCTGACCAACTGACTACAGACTGGAGGTCCCAAGAGCCCCTCCGACGCCCAATGCAACCACAAGTTCCTTTCAAATTTTTGGAGGCACCAACCTCGCTCTTTTTATGTCTGCTCATCTGCAAGTGAAGAACCCCTATTCCTTTCAATCCCCTCAAGTGATGAAGTGTCTCTTTGTTGTTACCTCTGCGGCACCCACTGCTCTCTTTTCCTAACAATCCTAATGTCCAAGTGAGACCCCATGTGGTTGTGGAGAAGCTGACCCCCGCTCCAAGTGTAAACCCGTGACCAGGGCTAGCACTCCATTCTCCTGATGTGAGGGGTGGGTACTGGATGTGAGCCTGTCCAATTAGAGTGAACCTCAGGTCTTCAGCCCATTGGTTCTAAGGTGCAGGATGGGTTGAGGATGCTTGGAAACTTGGGCTGTAAAAAGAAGAGCCTTCCTGAAAAGGGCACTACTATCCAAAAAGCTGGGGGCGAGAGGAGAGAAAATCTGAGTCCCACTGGCCTCATGTAAACCCCCAGACACGCCTTGTCTGAAGGCAGTTCTTCAGAATTATGTGGTTTCAGTTACATGAGCCAATAAGATCTTTTTTTTTTTTCACTTAGCCCATTTCTGTAACTTGTGACTAAAAATATCCCAACTGACACGTGTGAGACGGCTCTTTGCCCAAGGAAGGCAACACGCATTGCCTTCCTGTGGGCACACTCCAGTGTGCCCGTGACTCCCCTGCCAGGTCCCCAGGGCAAACCCTGCTGCATCAGACGGAGCCTGCCCAGTGCCGGCCCCCGAGGCCTCCCTGAGCCCCAGTGGCCGTGTGCTGTTAGGTCTGAACCTGAGACTGTGTTAGGATTCTGAGCATCCCCGTTAACGCTGCATTGTCACTTGGGTGGTGAGGCTGGATTCCTGCATCGCCCTGCTCCAGGGCCCACGCATGCTTGGTGTCACTGTGCTGCCTCTGCTGCCTCTTGAGTGCTGTGTGTTTCAGTGCCGCACACCTGTCTCTGTCGCTACACCCTCACACGCTGCACCAATCACTTCACAGCCTGTTCCACACATCCTCTGTGGGCCTGATTTCTTATAATGCTGCATTTCTGAAATACTGTTCTTTAAAAATTACGTGTATGTGTGTATACATATACACACATATATAACTTTTAAAGAAAAATGGTATATATACACACCTACATATACGCACATATGTGTGTGTATACGATCCTTCCTATTGCCTTCATATACACAAATACATGTGCAAAACCCTGCTCGTATGGGCTGTTGGCCAGGGCAGGACCTTTGTTATATTGAACTAGACAGCATGATGATAGCTGTTAAAACAGGACTCTGCCTATACTTAATCCTTCTCCAAAAAAGGAAATATTTAGTTTCAGGGAGGTATCTAGGCGTCACAGCAAGAAACACTAGAAAAGAATGAGGGACGCGTGTCCTGCTAGAAAGCCCTGCCAGCACCGAAGGCAGCTGCTCCTTCCCGGGGCTCACAGGGCACAGCCCTGGCCACACTGCCTGGGTCCCCACAGAGGGCGGCATTCACCCAGCTGCTCAGGCCTTTAGCAAACCGCTATCATTTCAAGAAAGGTTCTCTTACTGTCTTTTTAAAAAACCTGCTGCTTCTTTAAAAAATAGATGAAAAATTCACATAATTCCAAAGCCTAAATGTACTGAAGATTACACAATGAAAAGTCCCTCCTACACCTAAAACCCCACCACTTGGTTCCCCTCCTGGGAGACAACATTCCCTTCTTTAGTCATCCTTCCAGAGATATTCGATTATCATTTTTTTACCGCCGTATGTTTTCCCCAGAGACGTGGCGTTGAGACATTTTATCTTGTTTTGCCACGCTTCCTCTCTCCTATCTCTTCTTAGGGGAGACAAGGCCGGCCTCCCTTGAGGACTCTCTTTCACAGGCCAGTTTGCCATCGGGTGACATTGGATGACATTGGGTGACATTGCTTTTCTCTTGCATGCAACTCCAGTTTTTTGCTCGAGCTAGGAACACGTCTGTAGGTGACAGCTGGTGGGCCCAGTCACCTTCCAAAGGGTGATGGATGGGACCAGGAGGAGCGACCGTTCCCTAATATCATTAACTGCAAGATTTTTGCAAGCTCAAAATTCTCAGAGCTGACAGTTGCCTCCAACTGTTCCCAGCTGTTAATTTGGCCGAGGTGGGGGATCTGCCCCCGCTTCCACAAGCGGTCTGGGACAGCGGCTGGCTCACTGTGCGTCTTCCTTTGCATCCTCTGTGACAGTCGGTTCTGAATTTCACAGGCCTAAAAATAATATCCCAAACTGCATCTAGCACCAGGCTGCTGGGACAAAGGCTTTGCAAGCGGCACCACAGTGGGGTGCCACCTTTCTTGTTGGTGCTCGGAGGTGTCAGGTGTCAGGTTCTCAGGACCCAGCTACACAAATCAAACTCCCAAGAGACAGACGTCCAGTCAGATTAGCAACGTCTCTGCGGTGGGAAACGTGTTCTCCGGCACCAGAAGGCTGCTACGTCTAGGCACCCTGTCCCCTGCAGAAGTTTTTTTTATTTAAAACTTGGATGAGAATGGAATCACAGAAGATATCATGTCCTAGCCCTGATGCATATAGGATAAGGAGGAAATTCCTGCTTCACAAGAGAGTCCTAGAATGCGGTGTCTCGTACTTGGTTCATTTATTCATTCAGCAAACATTTATCAAGCCTGCCAGCGGATCTGCTAAAGCTATTAAAAAGGAAGTTTTCTGGCTCCTCGGAAGACTGTGGGAGGGGCCCTGGCTGGTGTGGCTCAGTGGATTGAGCGCAGGCCTGTGAACCAAGGGGACATCAGTTCGGTTCCCAGTCAGAGCACATACCCAGGCTGCAGGCCAGGTCCCCACTGGGGACCATGTGAGGGGCAACCACACATTGCTGTTTCTCTTCCTCCCTTTCTCTCTCTCTAAAAATAAAAACATATGAAATCTTTTAAAAAAAGATAGAAGGGAGGGGGCCTTCATAATGCTTTTGTCAAGTTTGCAAAAATAGGTACTTTATTTTATAGGTGTTTAAAATGGAATCAGCTAAGACTTCATCTCTCCGTGTCACCTCAGCCCCACGCCCTCCTGAGCTGGGGGGCAGTGGAGTTGTCACAGGCGCTTTTGGAATCTGGCAAAGGGGAAGCTGACTTAGGGGCACCTCCTGCATGGGATTGGTAGCTCGCAATCACTTCTGCAAACGGCGAAGTCGGTGCTGGCTTCCATGCGTCAGAGCAGCCCACGGAGCCTGCTCGCCCCGCGATGAGCCGGTAGAGACCTATTGCACGAAAAGTGAGGGGCGGTTGGAAGAGAACGAAGGGTTGAAATATTCATTCAGGAGCATATTCATGGAAATATCTTCGTCTTCACACATATGAAATTCTAACTCGGAAATTCAGTTATCTTTCATGCCTAATGAAAGCTTTTCCCATCTGGAATATAATGAATTATGTAGCGCATGCCGTGATAAACACGTCGCACATTTTTTCCCCTTTCTCAATGGAAATAGGCCCAAATGGAACACATCCGAACCTCTGTGTGTGTGGTCATATTTATAAACTGTGAATACATCTGTATAGGAATTTGAGTACTTGATGCATCCCAGTTAGCAATATTAAAGAAAAATTTGTTGGTCAATCAAGCCAGAAGAATGGATTATCTTCCTTTTCTCTGTACATAAAATGATAAGGCAAACTGTTTCTATAGAGATTATCCAAATTTTAAAATGCAGGAAAAAATAGAAAGATAGAAGTGTTTTAGGCAGTTAATTTAAAAAAGATACCATTTTTTAAATCAAGATTTGGTGAGTGTATGGTATCTGTCAGCTTTAAAAATTGACCCCCTGAGATCAGCCTGATTAAATGTGGGTTTTTTGAGCACTTGACAAAGTCGTTACTAAATATTGAGTACCTTGAAAGGAATAATATGTTAATATATCATATATGTTATATATAGATGTATATGCATGTGTTATGTGTTATATTTAAATATATACATATATGGATGCATATCAGGTACCTATTATAGATACATAGATATATATCAAGTATTCAACTTGAAGTTATTTATTTATTTATTTATTTTAAGATTTTATTTATTTATCTTTAGAGGGGAAGAGAAGGAGAGAAGGAGAGAAATATCAATGTATGGTTGCTTCTGGTGCATCCCCTGCTGGGAACTGGCCTGCAACCCAGGCATGTGCCCTGACTGGGAATCGAACCGCGATCGTCTGGTTCGCAGGCTGTGCTCAATCCACTGAGCTACACCAGCCAGGTCAACTTGAAGTTTTTTAAACAGTTTTTACTATTTGTTTAAAGGATGAAATGCTTCACAAATTTGTGAGTCGTCCTTGTGCAGGTGCCCTGCTAACCTCCTCTGCACTGGTCCGGTTTTAGTGGGTGCTGTCAAAGCGAACACACCAACTTCGCTGGAACCGATTACCCTGTGACTTTCTCCCTACACAACACCCTGACCTTCCCCCTTCGAGGGAAGCAGCGTCCTGAGTGATGTAAATAGCATTCTTTGTTTTCCTTTATAGTTTTATCACATACGTGTATTATCCCTAAACACGATATTGGTTAGTTTTGCGTATGTTTGATCTTTATACAAATGGAGTCACACACTAGGTGTGACCTGCTCTTTTGCTAAACATTATGTTTCTAAGATCCATTCATATTTTTGTGATTCACTGATTCTCATCACCGTACGCTATTTCATTATTTGATATACGTCACTATTTATTCATTCATCTACTATTGGTAAATGTTGAGGCTGCTTCCTGGTTTTGGCTTTCAGAAATCATGTTATGCTGATCATTTTGTGTCTCCCAGTAACATGTGTGTAATAGGTATTAACTAGCGTGGAATTGCTGGGCTATGGGCTCTGTGCCTCTCCAGTTTGATTGGATAATCCTAATAGTCTTCAAAAATTATTGTACCAATTTACATGCTTGTCAGTTGCATTTGAGAGTTCCTTCCTGTTCCTCCATATACTTGTCAGTCCTTGATGGTGTCAGCTTACAACCTTAATTTGCATTTTCCTGATTACTAATGAGTTTGAGCATCCTTTCATGTGTGTTCCTGATTTTTCTGTTGAGCTGCGTGTTTCTTATTTGCTTTGTAGGAATTATTTTATACCTAATTATAAATTGTTTGCCAGTTATAGTTTATAAATATCTTCTCCAAGTTTGTGGTTTGTCTTTAGTGACCAGGTTTTATTTTAAAGCTGTTAAATATATTGATCTTTTTCTTTTGAGATTATTATTTTTTATCTTGTTCAAGAAATCATTCTTGACCCTGAGATCATAAAAATATTTTTCTGTATTGTTTTCTAAAAGTTTTATAGTTTTGCCTTATACCCTTATGCATTTAATCCACTTGAAATTGATTTAGGGGGTATGATATATGACAGAGATCCAAATTAATTGTTTCTCTATGGATAAACCATTGTCCCAGCGCCATTGCTGATCCCTTCCCCATGACCTGTGATGACAGGAAGGACCTAATTCAAGTTTTGACATCTCTGGGGTCTTTTATGGGTTCTTTATTCTGTTCTACTGGTCGTCTAGCTATTCCTGAACTAACACCACACTCTTAGTCACTACAGCTTATGTTAAGTCTCAGTATCTTGCAGGGGTGTCCAACCTGCTGCCTGTGGGCCGCAGGCAGCCCAGGATGACTGTGAATGCGGCCCAACACAAAATCATAAATTTATTTAAAACATCGTGAGGTTTTTCTGTGATTATATGTCACGATGTATTTAATGTGTGGCCCAAGTCAACTCTTCTTCCAGTGTGGCCCAGAGACACCAAAGGTTGGACACCCCTGTTTTGGAAACGTGAGATGATTCCTCTGCACCCCACCTTCAACCTCATTCCTCTTCAAGCTATTCTTGGCATCCTGTTTCACATATGTGTTTTACACTAGCTTATCAAATTCCAAAAAATGAAAAACAAAACCTTTGTTGTAAGTTTGATTAAAACTACATTGAATTTATAAAACAATTTGGGTAGAATTTGTCGGCCTATGACATTGAGACCTCCAAAATGATGTGGTCTATGTTTCCATTTCAATAAACTTAAAAACAACTTTTTGATATGTCATACACTTCTTCTGTTACATTTATTCCTGTAAGAAATAAGAATATAATGTGTCCTTGCTACCCAACTCATTCAAAAACAAGTCCACAACAAAACTGGGGGGTGGAAATAAGGGTGTTTTGTAGTTCACGTACCTAGTACCTAAGCACCAAAGACGTACTATATCCTGTTTCGTTTTATATTTTTCGTGTTGAGCTTTTCAGTCTTTTCTTGCCTTCTTTTGGACTGATTGAATACATTGTTTCGTTCAGTTTGCCTTTCCCCACAAGAGTTTGGAAATCATATGCTCTATGCTCCTTTTATTCACAGCTATACAAGAAAGTTTGGCCTGAACATTTAACTCGTCAGAGCCTAACATTTATCAATACCTTCACTTTTCTCTCAAAACAAGAATCTCCGAACCTCCTAGATGTCATCACTTTTTGACTTAAATGCTATTATTGTAGATGTGTTTTTATTCTGTATTGATTTTTACCTAATGAAGTGTTGTTGTTTTATACAGTTTAGGTTTGTTTATGTTTACTCACATATTTACCACTCTTTCTCCTCATCTCCTCTTGCATCTCATAGTTTCCATGGTGGATTATGTTACTTCTACTTGAAGTCTATTCTTGTTTTGTTTTTCAAAGTATATTCTTTCTTTCTTTTTTAGAATTTCCTTTAGTTAATTGGCAAACTCTCCCAATTCTTCAAAGATACATTTTTGCGGGCTCTACAATTTTAGTTTGGTTATTTTCTCTCAACCCATTAAAGATAATATTTTACAACTTCCTGACACCTGCTTTGACTAGCAAGTCATTCCTTTGAAGATAATGGTTTTTTTTTCTCTCCATCTTCTAAGGTCTGTGTCACTGTGCTGTTCTGCAGTCTCACTGTATGTGTAAGTGTGATTTTTTAAATTTCCTTCATCTGGCTTAGGATTCTTAAAAACTCACACGGAGATAAAACCACAGACTGAAATTAGAAAGATAATTGGGGATCAGATTACAAAAGGTTTTGAAAGTCACTGCTATGGAGTAAGGATTTGATTTTTGTAGAGTAGTGATCTTAAAACTGTGTAGCTGTGAACATTATCTAAGAACTTTGAAAAATATGTTCCTTTGCACAGATTTAAATTGACATGTACAATTTTCAGTATAAGGTTAAATACGTTTGTCTTTTGCTAATAAGAAAGAGAATATGCTCAATATTTTAGCAGTTAAAATAAGGTGAGCGTTAGAGCTAAAGCTGAGATACATTTTATGCTACGCTTTGAATGTGTTGTATTTGCTAGATATGTGGGTGTGATTATATACTACTTGAAATACGTTTCTGTGCTTATTGAATAAAGCATACCAATTTAAAAATAAGTCACATATTTTTATTCATCAGTTTTATCAAATACGTCTCACAGTTTTTATATTTTACAGCACTACAGGTTCGTTTAAAAGAATGAGAATCACTTACCTACGCTGCTGCAGATGTTCCGAACTTAAGCTGTCCCAACATAGCATCAATATTGCTCTGAGTTCAGGCTTCACTCTTAACGGACGTGCATGTAGGGCAGGAAAAGGCAGGAAGACCTGGGGGGCTTTGCTGAGCCATGAGGGAGGCGTCCCCGAAACCAGCTGCCACTCCAGGTGGTTTAATCAGGGACACATTCTACAGTGTTGCAGTGGTCCCAGCGCCTGTGCGTGAGGGTGTCTATCTTTATCTCTCCCAGCCCCCGGTCTGTCCTGTGTGCAGACAGACATGGACGTCTTACATTTTCGTTTGGGAAATGCATCTGTGCAGACGTAGAAAGTTTTGCCACCAACAAGTATCTGCTTCAACGGGAGAGGAAGTGAGGGCCTTCTTCTTGGGGCAAAAATAATTGGCGATGAAGAGGGCCATTCATTAGGCCACCATTTCGTTTGGGGGCAGATGAGCTGGTGGGCAGCTCCTTCTCTGTTCTTTACTTGCAGCATTAAACAGAAAACGGGCACGAGGCAGGACAAAGAGTTTTTTCATAAGAACGTGTAATGCTTACATTATTGCAGTATTATGACGTTAGAGTTACTATTGGTTATTTCTACTTTTTTATCCAAAAAGAGAGAAATATGGGCAAAATGTCGTGGTAACTTTGGATCTACAGGGAAGAACTTTGGATCTACGGGGAAGAATTTCTGGTAAAAACCTTGTAAAATATGTACAGATTTAATACGTATTCTATGGTTAATGTTAACCATCATCAGTTATAGGTTTATACTTAGTATACTAACCATGGAGTATTAGAGGAGATATAGAATCACTAGTGACAAGATCATAAGTCAAGAATCAGCCCTGGCTGGTGTGGCTCAGTGGATTGAGTGCCAGCCTGTGAACCAAAGGGTCGCCGGTTTGATTCCTGGCCTAGGGCATATGCCTGGGTTTCAGGTCAGGTCCCTGGTGGGGGTCATTCAAGAGACAACTACACGTTGATGTCACTCTCCCTCTCTCCCTCCCTTCCTGTCTCTAAAAATAAATAAAATCTTAAAAAAAAAAAAGAATTAAACTTCCTGGATTCAAACCCCTGGTTTACCCCTAATTAGCTCTGGGAGAACTTGGGTAAATTTCCAAACCTCTTTATACTCAGTCTGCTCATCAGAAGGAGAGGAACAAAGTAATATTCATTTCCAACGATCATTTTGGGGATGAAACGAGTGCCTCAGGGTCTGCTTCTCTTGCTCTCGGGGAGGTTGGAGGGCCGATGCCTCACACGCGAACAGTGTTTGGCGCAGGGCCTGCCTCGTCCTGCAGTGTCAACGCGGGTGTTTAATTCACGAGGGAGGACATAATTCTGCCTTGACAATGCAAAATGAAATGCTTATTTCACTTCCACACACCATGTTACAGCTGGGAATGTGGGCATTAACATTCTGCACTGAAAGGGAAACAAGCGAGACATTAACTTCGGAGAGAAAATTCCCTCGACACCCTCACATTTCATTCACGAATCACTGAGTGAATGTCGTGGAAAAGGAGAGTAAATATATATAAGGGCTTAAATGATTTTCTCATGTTTAAGTAGAGCATATCTTGATTTTAGTTCTCTCTTCAACTCTATTACGGAAATGTACCGGTAACATAATTTCTCTGTTTTATATTGAATTAGTTCTCTGCTTTAACTCTAATTTGTTGAGAGTAAACATATTGTGGCAAGACGCTAAATCACTTAAATCTAATGCTTTTTTTTATCATGTAATCATGATCAGGTTACATGTTCTATCTTCTAAATGGCCTTAAACTAGGTTTATATAGCATTAAAGCATCCAGATAAAAAAATAAAGGGAGCCACTCAATTATCCATATTTTTCATA